AGAACTCAAAGGAGGGTTTTGCAAGATTTCTTCCAAAAGGTAATCCTACACCCTTAGACTTACATGTATGGATATATTATGGGAATATGAGTATGAATTAAGTATTGAAACTTATGGTATGGTAATTGGAAGCCATAAGTTCCCAATTTAAATACATATCCATTGTAGAGATTGAAAGGTGATTATTTGATGAAATTTTGTTGGTTGGGTGTGGATGGATGGTCACGTATGTGATGTTGGAAGTTATGAATTATTTAAGAATGATGGTGGGATAAATTATTAGTAAATGGTAGTAGTTAGATGAACTAATTATATGGGTAAGAGATGTAAAGATTCATGCTTACTAGGTGTTTGATAAAATGCCTAAATGGCCTAAATTATGGAATTTGTTACTAATATTGGTCCAATTGAATTATGTTGATGTAGATTGAAGTTGTAAAGTAGTAGGTGGTTTTAGTAGCACTAAAGAGCTCCATCAAGGTATGTTGGCTAAACTACTTTCTTATAATTGAATTCAATGATGTTCTCATAAGTTTCAAGTATGGTTGTCTCAAGTTCCTTATTCTATGTTCCGAGTTGTTCCCAATAAATTCAATTGTCCCGAATAAGCAAAGTGTCGAGAATTAAGTATTCAAAACGTGTTCCAAATGTTCCTAACATATTGTGTTATCCTTTGGGAATGTGTTCAAGAATGATACATGTATTAAAATGCTATGTCTTTGAGTTGTGTTTCAAATGAAGGTTATGATTCCAAATTGTGTGAGTAAACTCAATATGCTTAAGACTCTTAATTGCTCATATATGTACCTAAAGCCTTGATTGGAAATGTCTTACTGTTGATAACCTATAAAGATGTGAAAGAATTATGAAATGCGATGATTGATATAAGTGAAAGTTATACTTGTGGCCAATGGAGCCAATGAAATGAAATGATGTGAGAAAGGTTATGAAATGAGCCTTGATTCAACTATTCCGAATTGACTTCGAAAATAGAATTGCCTAAAAGCCTATAAACTCAAGTCATGCTCATATGTGGCTGTTTTAACCGACGTTATGATTTGTGAGTATTTTTAATGTGTTTTGCATTCTTACATATTTGTGAGTGAAAATTGTATATTGCCCTTTGTGGGGGAAAATGTGTCAAGAATAAATAGTATGTTATTTGCTGATGATTTTAACTTGCGCATCAATTGCCAATCATTTTACTCCACTTCTCGGAAAGAAATCTATGGTGCTTAAATTGTTCATTTCTGATGAACTTAAAGTTGTGATTTCCGGAATATTATATGTATGTTGATATTTATGAAGATGATACATGAGAGGGGAGAAATAAAAGTGTGGAATAACAAATATGGCCACCGTACCTTGAATAAAGAATCTTGTGAATGGCCAAAAGAGCCAAGGAAATATTGTTGTTATTATTGGTTGAAAATACTAGTGGAGATTTATACAATGTAGAAGATGATGAGGTAAATACATTTGCACCTATGTTATTTTTGTGAATTATTTCCTTTATTTGGGATGAGATCGATGTGATAAAATTATTCCTCTTAATTGGGATAAGATTGATTGATATAAAAAGGTTGATGTCTCGAATAAGACAACCTAGCCGATCGGGTCGTGATCAGACACCATGTCGCATACATGGTGGTGATTGTGCTAGAAATTTAATTGAAATCGAGATTTTGGTTGATGTCTTCAAATAAGATAGCCTAGCCAATCGGGTCATGATCGAAATCCGTGCTAAAATTACGGTGGTATTGGTATTGATAATAATTGTGGTTGATTCTCTAATGAGATAGCCTAGCCGATCGGGTCGTGATCGGACTTCGGGCTCGAATTACGGTGGTATTGGTATTGATAGTAATTGTGGTTGATTCTCTAATGAGATAGCCTAACCGACCGGGTCGTGATCGGACTCCGTGCTAAAAGTACGGTGGCATTGGTATTGTGAACATCATTATTGTGAACATTGGTGCAAAAGATCTCCCAACCAAAAATAATATTATCATCATAATTTGATTATCACTTCCCAGTATTATCTTCATATTTTAAAAATTATTATGTTTTAACTTGGCATTTGAATATCATTGATTGTAACTTGTTGTTTCTATGGATTTTCCCTTCTTACATTGGTATTCTATTTTGAAAGAGGACTTTTAGCTATACATACTAGTGCTATTCGACGGTACTAACGTCCCTTTTGTCGGGGGCGCTGCATCATTAATGGATGCAGGTAGTTCTACAGCAGGCGTCATTGATCAGTGATAGCGGTACACTCTCTTCTGCTGACTTGGTGAGCCCCACTTCATTTCAGTGCCATGTATCTTTTGTTTCTCATGTACTTTGTGATTGAGGTATAGCTGGGGCCTTATTGCCGACTTTTCCATATTTCTCTTCTGTTGTACTTAGAGGCTCCGTAGGCAGGTTGTGGGTGGTTTTTGATGTGGGAAATTGAACTGGAAATGATGGTATTTGGCAAACATGTTTTTATTATAATTATGAACTTGTAATAATTTGGAAATCGTAAATGAATCTCTTTTGAATAATGGAATTGGAAAATTGGGGTTGTTAATAAAATATTTTAAGTGTTTGATTAATGGAGTGCATCTCCTCTTTATTCATGGATGAGTTTGGGAAGAATGAAATCTAATAGGCTTGCTCGGCCGGGTTCACTCGGTTGAGCGCCGGTCGCGCTCCTCGATTTTTGGGGTGTGACATCAACTTAGCCGACGAGGCCTACCTACAAGCTGACAATACCAATAAAGGCCAACGAGGCCATATTCTGAATCATCTGAAAATAATGTCTATCTCATCTGAGGGGTAAATATATCCAAAAGCTCATATACATGACTGTGCAGGCTGACGAGGCTGCCATGAACGTCTACAACCAGCAATACCAAACTGAACATGTACACAGGGCTGGCAAGGCCACAATACTGACATACAAAATATACACGACTCGTCTACAAGCCTCTAGAGATAACATAAATGTATCATGGTCAGGACAGGGCCTCGACCTACCCATCAAACTTGTATATACACAATGGACTCCAAAGTCTAGACCTGGTAACTCAGGGGGAATGAAGCTTACTAATTAAGCTGAAGTTTGACTATGTCTACTAGGAAGGTCTAGCTGGATGTATATCAGGACCCCACACATACTACGCTCGGCCGTAGTAAGCTCACTCATAGGCGCTCAAACATACTACGCTCGGTACGTGTAGCTGCTAAGCCATTTTAGGCTCGCTCATAGGTGCTCGGCCATAGTATGCTCGGTATATACTTACCATCTAATTAGAGGTTGTCCAATAGGGACCTGCCCACCGATTATAGCTCGGTGGTGGTGAAAATACTGTAATACTGTATATATATATACCCTCTTCTCTCTTGACTGAAATAAGACAATACTTAACTGAATATAAAATCCCGATAAGGAAGAATGCTTTAACTTATGAGACTAGAAAAATATACATAAATTCAGGAATACAAACTTCTCTTTATGTCTCGTTATCAAACGTGTTTAGTTACGGGATCATGCCAAAATTAAGGAAAGGTTTAGCCTTAACATACCTTTGTCGTTTACTAAAGGACTCAACGTATATCTTCCAGAAGACTTCAATCTACATTAAGACAATAAAACTTGTAGTTAATGCCATAGAAGGACTTACAAACATACTTCTAAGCTAGTAGGTCACTTATAGAAAATCAGAAATTATTTTTCTTATAATATTCCACTTCCATCCAACTCAAACCAGCACCAAAACAATAGGAACAACATAAACAATAATGTATCCAAGATATTCCAACAAATTCAGATTAAAACCTAGCTCAAAACCCTTACAAAACAGTACACACGCACAAACACCTTAATCTTCACTTCCAATCTCAAGTTTCATATATTTCTTTCATGAATTCACTTGATAAATATATATACATGCATAACAACATAAACCATATCATAATCAAGTTATTTTTTACAATTTTCATCCATAACAACGTGTATATATATAGCCTTAAAAAATCCAACAAAATATATCAATATCTCTTTCCACTTTCAAGTGCTATCTTGTAATATTTCACTCCAATACCACAACCAACATGTAATTAACCTAAAACACAACCAATAGGATGAAATATACCTTAGGCAGTAGATACAATTCGAAACCTAAGCTTAACTTAGCTCACCATCATCCTTATTAACATCACAACACCATAGAGGGGCTATTCGTCGCCTTTGGCTAACTTTGATGGTGAGGCATGGTGTTTTTTTTGTTTTGGAATTTGTTTGGAGCCTTGGGGGAACTTTTTGGGAGGGTTTGGAGAGTGTGAGGATTGAAGGAGGTCGACAAATGAGCAAATCTCATCCCAAAAACGAGATAAAAATAGGTGAAGGCCGACCATCGTCCAAGTGGGTCCAATAGGGGCTTCCTGCGCAGTCTCGCAAATATACTAACATATCTCTACTATGATTCATATCAATGAATGGTTTAATGAGTTAGAAACTAGACTCGTAGATCTTAAATTGATGGGTGGATCACCCCGGAACTCAAAGTATATTAGAAAAAAAGCTCAATGACATTAGACCCAAATTTCAGTTAATTTATGAACGTAACTTGCGACAACATTTACTGACTTTTGTTTTACAACTTGCTTGACTTATAAACATAACATATGACTATCAAACAATTCAAACAACTTAAAACACGAACTCCTTAGCATATTAAGCACTCCTAATTTTTACCCCGAAAGTACAGGTTATAAAAATTTTGATTCGTTTATCCTCCAACCCTCACGATACTGTTAATTCATTATTATTTTTGTAAAGGTCCTTAAACTCTCCAGATTATATTGATTTACTTAAGATGCATTCCAACATGAAATTACGGGAAGTAACCGGTTCACTAGTTATTGTGTGGAACACTCCTTCGTATATACCTACCCTTTCACCATTAGATTCAAGCTACCGATAGACAACGTTATTAAGGAGATATGTTGCAATATAATATTTATTTGGCCCAAATCAGTCTGATAGTCAAGAGGCTAATTTCTTGCCTCCACCATATGTCTTCCAAGGCCGATGTATCATACACTTGTCGGCACCTCCTTTATCTCTCTCATCCTAAGATCTAATGGTGTGGTGTATTCACTAAGAAACATTAGGGAAATATGGCTCTTATTACTAACTACAACGATGACCACGATTGGAGATGGTTCGAAAGGTTCCTCGTGATGTAGACTCGGTGCATCGTTCGATCAAATAAACTGCCTTTTCCCAAGAAGTGGAACCCAAACCGTAAGTATCTCTTCTCATTAAGATTTCTTACTCTTCTACAGTATCTTTCTCTAGCTTTTGTTCATTAAATTGTAGCTGCTGTAGAGGATTTTAGTGGGGTTGACGGTATTGAATGATGGATATCTCAGATTCTGGAAGTCTCTTTTACAGAGTCAAGGACATGGAAGGGCATCTCCTTTGGGCTAGATGTAAGAGCGGAAACTCACGGTATTCTCAGGGAGAGATGACAATCTCAACCTCGGGCTAGCTTACCTGATACCAGTAGCCCCCTCCCCCCCAAACAAAGGATCCGAGAACTATTTTCCCTTTAAAAGTAGAAATCAGGAACATCCCAAGATACCTCCATGGAACTTCCTTTCGTCGGTTCCTCTACAGAGTGAAAGATGACTGTTGAGAGAAAGGACAATCATTCTAGAGTCGACAGGAGCAGTACCTAAGTCAGTCCCCCGACTGCTTGTAGTATCCTTAGAGAGGGGGCAGAATGGGTATTGCTATGGTCATGGTTGACTCGGAGGAGGAATCTCAACTCGACACTGAGAGGTTGGGCCCTACTGCAAACTTACAAGAAGATCATGTGCTTCCCACTCCAAATGGACCACTCGATGAGGGGATGCCCCTCGTTTGAATTTCGAGGTACAAAAGAAAGATTCTGCGGGACCAAATGGCACCACCTCCAATGACTTCCACGGCTCAAGAACAAGAGCCCTGTTCAGCAAGTGGTAATGTTGTGCGGGTACAGGATGCTCCCCCAAGCCTTATGCTAATCCTGGTGAACATACCATCTAGTTCACTATTCCCAACAACTTCAACCTTATAGATAAACCTCGACATGCTGTTAAATATATGCATTAGTTAGTTGGTCCTGTTGAGAAGGCAAAGATGTCTCAATACGATATGGAGGGGTTGATTACCTAGCTGATTTATCCAACCGCCACAATGAGACTTCTTTTTCCTCTTATCCTAAGTTGTTATCCCGGATTTATAAATCCGCTGATTGTTTATTTTTGTTTTGTAGCATAACCTGATCTCATCAAAGGCTCTAAAGAGGGTCCAGGCGGACAAGTCCAAGTTTAACGGGGTCGTCGAGGCCAACAGAGAGTTGAAGGCCGAGGTCGAAGGATTGAAGTTCGAAGTTACATGACGTAAAGCTGAAAAGGAAGCCTTGATATTGAGGAACAAGGGTGCTGAACAAAGCTCAAAACTAAAGCAAAAAGAGCTTCTAGGCTGGGAGTTAATGTTTTCATGCGACCTTAACAAATCCAAAGAGAAAATCCGATCTCTTCAAGATGAAATGGCCGATAAAGAAGAGATTTAACTTCAATTGACAATATAACATTCCTGTATTGAGGACAGAGAAAAGGAATTAGAAGTCGCCCTTGCTTTTTTGGATGAACTTACTCGACTAGTGGTGCTGAAAAAGCTGCCCTGAAAGAGGCTTATGATAAGTTAGCTCACTAACTCGGAGAGGTGGGGGGAAGAGTGAACTTGATCGAATTGGGTTGCTTTAGAGACTCGCTTAAACACTCTTCATGAAGTCCATGTTGGGAAGACAAACATAGAGAAGTAGATCATGGACCTTGAAGTCGAGACGAAAGAAATTGGGGCACTCCTAGGTTATTCATCCTCTGACGGATGCGAGTATAGTCTTGATGTAGGTGAGGATGAATCATAATACTTAGACAAGAATAATGAAGAAAAGGAAATTTTGACACCTTTGCCTCCCCCAACCACTTGACTCCCTGATGTTTCTTCATCCTCCGGATCCTTTGATCTTGATTCTGACAATATTTCTTGAATATTGTACTTTATATATCTTAATTTTAGAATTATTATAGTAAAATTTCGACAATATTTTACTCAAAAGTTTTTGTGCATTATTGTTTTGATCATGAATATTCCAGACTTAGAAATATTTTTGTAGACTTTATCGGGCATTCATTGTGCCTTAGCCATAATTCTTAACCATGTGTCGGCTTTATATCCTTTTAGAATGATAGCTTTCAAACTGATACTTTGAGTGTTCAATATTTATAATTAGTTGCCTCATGAAGTTGGCATTGAACTAAGAATGGGCCCTTAGTGAGTTCAATGCTTATGAAGATGGCGTGTCATCTTCATTTTGACAAGTAGGGATACCATGTCCTTAGTAGAATATTTAAACAAAAATGGTACAACTTGTCCGGGTAATAAAATAAAGTAAAGCTCAAGATTTTTGTTCTACAAATTAGGATAAATGATACTTACAACTTCTGCTAAGTTTCCTTTGTGATACATATCCTAGTAGTATACAGTGAAAACAATCTGAGCCTTATAGATGGGTTATTTTGATGAAGATAGTTGATGTCGGACAATTGGTACATTAACAGTGCTTGCTCTTGCTTGTTGGAGATCTTGCTCTAAGCATAAAATTTCTTCTTCGAATACGTTGGTGCTTCTGCAGCTTTTGGTTAGGCTAAGCAGTCCGCGAGTGCTGGTCTCCGTATAGTCTCCCTAGTGTTTGAGTTTAAAGTATATAAACTTTGACACTAGTCTTGTCATTCGATTGTCTCAGTCCAGCTGCTAGACTCCGCATTCTGGTTTACTTGATCTTCCTACGATCATATTCCTGAAAATGAGGTAAGTGGTCGACAAGTATTTTAGATGAAGAGGATTCCTCAGCCTTTTTGATCAGTCATTTTGTGACCCTGCCTGAGAATGGTTGTAGTTTCCAAATGTTGCCAAGGATCAGTGTAGTCATTGTTCGGGCTAGGATGGCTATTCATATCATCTAAAAATGTTAGCATAAATATATTAACAACTTAAAAGTAATTAACAAGAGGGGCACCATACCATTGCGGATCCTCTAGAAGTAGTAGCGTTTCAAGTGTACGACGTTCCAGTTAGCCCGAAGCTGTATTCTATCCATTGACTCGAGGTCATAAGCTCTTTTTCCAGCAAGTCTACAAACTCTATATGGGCCAAGCTTTCTGGCATTGGGTTCTTGTTTTGTAGGGAACACCTTATGAAGGACGTAATCCCCTATTTTGAAGTGCCAAAGGTTAGCTCTTTGATTACAGTATATCTTAATCCTCTACTTCTGTATAGCTATTCAGATTAATGCCATCTCTCAGCGTCCTTCTACCAGATCAAAATTTGATGCTAAGGCTTCCTCGTTGGACTCCTCAATCACATAAACTAACCTTAGACTCGATTCCCCTATCTCAATCGAGATTAGAGCTTCTGATCCATATATGAGTGACAAAAGAGTTTTTCACGTACTTGTGTTTTGACATTGTTCGGTGTGCCTATAAAACTTCAATTAATTTCTCCAACCATATTCCCTTAGCCGCTTCTAACTGTTTCTTTAGGTTGGTGAGCAAACAATTTTTTGATGACTCTTCTTGGCCATTAGCTCTGGGATAATAGGTGGATGAAGTAATCCTCTTGATTTTCCACTTATCAAGAACTCAATAACATTTGCTTCGATGAATTTTCGTATGTTATCACATGCTACCTCATTTGGTACTCTGAATCGTCATATAATATTTCTTTATATCAAGTCTATTACTTATTTCTCTCGAATGTTCGTGAATGCACCTGCTTCAACCCAATTAGAGAAGTAATCAGTCAAGACTAGTAAAAATTTTACCTGACCCGGGGCTTGAGGAAGCGGTCCAACTATATCCATCTCCCATTTCATGAAGGGCCATGCGAAAAGTATAGAATGCATTGGTTCTGCTGGTTAATGTAATTGGTGTGCAAAACGTTGGCATTTGTCTTATTTTTTGATGAAGGTATTTGTATCTTCTTCCATTCGGGGCTAGTAATAACCTACTCTAATGAGATTCTAGGTCAAGGATCTATACCCAGAATAATTGCCACAATTTCCTTCACAGACTTCTCTCATAACATATCCTGTTTTCCGGGTTCGAGGCACTTATCTAAAGGACCATTAAAAATCATCGAGTAAAGTTCTCCTTTGATGAGGCAGTACTAGATTGCTCGAACTTTAAGCTACCGAGTTGGTCTTTTTCTTCGGGCATCATCCCATTCTGCAAGTAGTTTATGAATTCGTTACTCCAATTCCAAGTAAATTGGTTGAATTTACCTCGTTTTTTCTTTGGCCGAGGACAGAATGAAACAAGTTAAAGATTGAGTTATTTTTGGATTCAATAATTTTCACTGCTGGTCCAAGATTTGCCAACATATCTACTTTAGCATTCTCATCTCGAGGTATGTGTGTGGTCTTCCATTGCTGAAACTGAGCTAAAAGAGTTATGACTTTGTCCAAATACTTCTTCATCTGGGTTTCCCGTGCCATGTACGTCCCTTTTATTTGGTTACTCACAAGTTGGATGTCGCTTTTAACCCGAGGTGGTATGCACCAAGTCCTCTGGCTAATTTGAGTGTTTGAACTATAACCTCATATTTGACTTCATTGTTAGTTATAGAATGACATTTTATAGACTGTCTAACTGGTGCAATGAGAGCTATTCCATGATTAGACTCTTTAACATTGGATGATCCATCTGTGAAGAGGGTTCAGATTTTAGGGCCTGCCCCAAAAGCAATGATCACTTCTTTTTCAACCTCTAGAAGGATGTTTGTACTTAATTTAGCCACAAAGTCTGCTAGGACTTGTGACTTGATGGCAATATAAGGTTGGTATGATATATCATACTCACTCACTACGACCACCCACTTGGCAAGCCGTCCCTGTTTAACCTAAAATTTGATTTTTAGGCTGAATATATTAAATTTATATTTCAAGGCCTCAAGCAACCTGCTTGATTCACTTTAAAGAATATAAGCAAAGCAATTAAATGATAATAGTAAAAGATAAAGAACAAATGTTAAGAGCGAAAGAAAGAAAAGGAGAATTGTTATTGATGCTGCTTTTGCTCGAAGATATCTTGCTTTCTCAATAACAACTTAATATATTGCTTAAGAGAATACAAGAGTTTTCTAATTGATCTTCAAAGGGTAGAAGTGAGGGTGCAAGCAATAAGAGTTTTTGTAACCGTCCCTTGATATCTCGCCAGCCCGTTATCTCCATTACTTTTCTGTTTACACATGTTACGCTTAAAGGATTTGTAACTGCTCCGTAGTAAATGCCAAATCCCTTATTCTGGATTGACTGTTTCTTTATATCTATCCATACATATGAAACTTCACGGTAAATCTGCTCATATTGAATCCTTACTGGAACCGAGATCAATGATCTCGATATCCACGATTTTGTCTCAATTGACCTTGTACTCATTCTTCAAGTGACCTTCCAATCCATTGTTATTTCCATGTCACAACCCAAAATCCCAACCGATTGGGGGGAGGGGGAGGGGGCGCGTGATGGGACCTACGCCACTTGATTGGCAAGCCAACAAATAACAATAATAAAGGCAATAAAAAATAAAAAATAACATGATATCATAAATAAAAGATATAACTCAGAGAAATATATCAAGTCTAAGACCAATGACCATCTACATCTCCTAAAATCTAGAGTCACTAAGTACATAAGCATCTACAGAATAACTAAATACAAAGTTTAGAATAAATAATACACTATTCGAAGCAAATATACAATAATAGAACTATGAGATAGGTGACTCCAAGGCGTGCAGACGAGAGTACAATACTACCTCGGATCTCCTCAACCAACACACTATCCGTCTTCTAGGTACCACTGGGACCAACACCAAAATCTGCACAAGAAGTACAAAAGTATAGTACGAGTATAACTAACCCAATGTACTCCGTAAGTATCGAGCCTAAGCTGACAAGGTAGTGACAAGGCTAAGACAAGACACCTGCTTATAAACCTGTACAGTTAAATAACAAGAAATAACGAGACAAGATAACAAGTAAAATATCAAGTAATATGACAAGATAAATAACAAGAGAGAGATAAAAAGTATAAAACGAAGAAGATATAGAACAGAAAAATAATGAAAGAAATAACTAAGGAAAACAATAGTTTATGCTTCCACAAGCAACCCCGAACAAGCCTTTCGAACATAACCACGCAACAACATAGCCAAGTCCTCAGTCTAAATAGTAAAAGAAGGAACAAGAGATATCAAACAAAGGGCATGACACCATCCTTCGTGCTTTTATTCTCATCTTCACAAGTACAACAAAATAGCAAGCACAGAAACACCATTCGTGCATATTCACTCTTCCTCACAAGCACAATCACACACTTCATGCAATGATATTAATATATAAAGAAAGCACAGAAACACCCTTCGTGCACAATCACTCTTTATCACAAGTGCGGAAACACCATTACTACAACTCACTCTTCCTCACCAAGCATAAATATGAAAAGCAATACCAAGCCCGTGGGAAGCACAAACAATATCAAGAAGAACGATTGAACATAGCTTTCCATTTAGGAATTAATCATCAATTTACACCAATAGCCAAATCAACAATTCAATAGTCTCACTACCCAATATCATATCAAGCTTAACAAGACTACTAACACAGACGGAAATAGCCAAAGAGAGAAAGCGCATATATACTCGTCACCTTGCATATACACTGCACCAAACACATACAACACATAGCAATTAGACACAATTAAATTATAATTCCCGCAAATCAAGGTTACCAAGACACTTACCCCTTTTCCAGCACAAGTTAACACTCTAACACCGCCTTTCCTTTAGCACAAGCCTTCATACCACTTGAATCTAGCAAATTAATATCCCAATAAGTCAAAAGATGATTTAACAACTACCATAGTATAAAAAAGGTTCGATCTTTAATATATTTGGAAAAGTCAACAAACATTTAATCTAGGGCCCACATGGTTGAAATCCAAAACTAGGACCAAATCCCCTTTACCCATTCTCCCTCGAGTCTAAATATGTAATTTATTTTGAGAT